GACAAAATGTGGAAAAGTTCAAGGGGGCTGAATACTTTTGCAAGCCACTGTATATAGACGTATCTGACAACCTGGTGCCTGACCAAGAAGATCAAACCTCTGGCTAAGGCTTAGGGGTCCTACTACCCATACCCGACTCCACTCAACCTGAACCTGCCTTTCTTATATATAATGACACAGGTGAGTTGTTTTGTCAAAAAATGTGTGGAATTGCAAGAAGCTCCTTGGGAAATTTATTTTTATTCTACACACTGTTAACATATCCAGAGGATTATTTAAGTTACATTTGCCAGTACTTACTAGATGAGAATTTAAATTCACAAAGGTAACATATATTTTATTTGTATTTGGTGTAAGATACCGATCAATGTAAATAAATTAAAATAAAATAAAAGTTATCATAAAAATATTAAAATGTAATGTAATTGCTTCCACATATCTCATAAATCTTGCATGAAATTGAAAAATATATTATCTAAGCAGAATACTGATCCACGGCTGTGCAGTGTTATATTTCCAAGGTTGGCATGGTTTGCAATATTAAAGTAAAGTTATATTTTTTTCATGGGGCCCTGCTAACTCTTCTGCCTGTTAGCCATGCACTGCAAACAGTTTGGGTGTCTGGACTGTTAGGAATTATTGTTATATGCCATCTGTAAAAGATTTAAGTCCAATAAATTTAAAACAAAAACAAAAAAAATCTAAATATAAAAAAGCAGGAGACAGTCATTTTGATAACTGCCAACAGAAATACAATTATTGTTTAAAAAGCAAGTTTAAGACATACAATAAAAACATAAATAATGAATTATTATTATTATTTAACATTAATTAAGTGTGCCTATGCAGAGAGGCACACTTATTACTATTCGTCGGATTTATTATTAAGTGTGCCTATGCCAAGAGGCACACTTATTACTATTCGTCGGATTTATTATTCTTATTCTTATTCTTATTATTATTATTTTCCTTTTTCTGCCTGAAATTTTGCAGCAAAACTCGCCCCACAGTTTTGAGACAAGGTTCACATATGTTATATCATTTTGTGCG